TACACCTTCTTCGATAACGATAGAAATAATGTTCGATATAGTGCACAATATAGGCACGTGTTACATGAACACATGCTGTAATGCCTGCCTGTGATGAGGAGATTGTGAATAAAAATGAATATTAGTCGAATTTAAAATAAACATTTGCATTTGAATGCAAAAATGGTACAATCGAATGTTAGGAGAGCGTCAAGGAGCGTCATCAGTGGAGCACGAGATGCGGTGATGATGATGTAAGTGACATTGTTGCATTTTAATGTTTTGTTAGTCTAGCCAACGAGACGCGCGGTTGCTGCATTATTCGTTCAAAATATTAGAGAAATATAGTAGCTCAATGCGTAGAAGATCTTGATTAGGTTAAAACCGAAACCAAGCCATTCACACAGAACGCATATTCAGCACATTTTTTAGAAGGACAAATATGACTGCTGCACTCGCGTCTCATGCAAGAGATACAAAGAAAGCCATGCAAAGTTAAAACAGTTTAAACGTTTAGAAAACACGACGCGAATGTGTGAAGGTTTATTTCATTTCACTGCATCTCAAATGTTTTTAAATGCAATCTGTGTGATCGGTGATTTGGCTCTGTATTAAGCAATACATAAATACATGATGCTGTTTTGTTGATAATTGTTTATGCAGTTTACAAAAATATATTTGATATATATATAATGTTAATTTAGACGTTATGCACGTTTTTATAGACAGTTATTTGCATTTACAATTTAATGTGCTGCATTATTTTGCTCATTGCACCCTCCTGTGGCCTTGGGAGACAAGCCAAAAGTTTCCTTAAGACTTATTTAATTTGCATATAAAACATAAGGAGATATTCGTTTAAATTTTATTTTGTGTTTGACTGTTAAAACAAAAAAATAGTTGTTTGTCTTAATAAATTGGGCAAATTAAAAATCTTTTTAAAAAGGTTCTAAAAAAGTGAATAATTCTCGATACCGAACGATATGAAACATTATATCGTTGATACATTTTTTAGCTATATCGCCCAGCCCTAACAGAATGTATTTCATCCTACCTTTCTCTTGCAGCTGTACTAGAAAAAGCTTCTTATGTTCTTTAGGCTTAGTGATGTGTGCTGGAATATAAGGGTACTGTGGAAGGAAATTAGACATGTTAAATGTGATTTTTCATTGAATCAAACTATAATAATTATATATTTCATTCTGTTTAGTTAATGCGCTTGAAAGTGAACACAACAATATATACTGTTAGTGATCTAGTGCATGTCTGTCTGAGGGAAAGGGAACAGAATAGTTACCTGCGGTGGTTCAAAGTTTGGTCTCCACCAGTTCCCAATACAGTCATCAATGACCCAGTCCTGTTTCACTCCATCCTGACGCCCCAAAATCTTCACAACAAATTTAGAAATTATTCTTCAGTGTATTTCAAATCTTTGCTAGTTTTGTTACATAATATGGCATTTCATGTTATACCAGATGGTACAATACTCCGATAATAAGTGTTTTTGGCTTGACTGACATTTTACACTTTCTTTCTTTCAGCTCTGAACTGAACAGATTGTAGTTAAAACATTCTGTAAATGCCACCAACTATCACTTTAAATACAGTCAGAAAAGCAGTAATACCTCAGTCATTAGTCGTTTCAACCCCTCCACCTCATCCTCTCCAGGGTTCAACTCACCCCCGGGACTGTAAAAAAACAAAATATAAACTGTCAGCCACTGACAAACATATTAGTAGACACTTTATCAACAAATGCATAATGAACAAACAAAACAATGCAAAGAAAAGCAAACAAGTCAAAATGTATAAAGAATCATAAGTCGGGTTTCCATACAAAACTTGCGAATTTAACTTATGCACAAAATCGAAATATCGCATAAAACATTTGCGAATAAGCAAAGAGAACAAAATCGTCACTTCCTGGTAGAACTGGCGCTAGGCTATATATCACTATGAAAAGTAGGAGAAACCTCTGAATATAATAAATTAATTGTGCCTCAGAGCGAGCAGACGAAACAATATAAATGCGGTCAATGCTTTCGGAGGTGGATGCTGCTGTTTGGGAACGGAGTCGTGTAACAGTTCTACAGAAATATGTTGATGACAGACTTTGCTCAGACATTTAAAAATGACCATAACATTTCAGATGCTGAGGAACGAGATGGTTAGGTTTCGCTGGCCCAATTTCGCAATCACATTATTTTTTTGATGCGCATGGAATAATTTACTCGGCAATGCGTTTCCATCGCCTTTTATTCGCATGAACCCTTTTTGCACTAGTCAAAAACCACCTCAAGCGAGCGTAAAGCTACATTTTTTATTAAAAATTTGCCATTTCCATCACTTGTTTCTGATGCGATACTTCAAAAATGCGCATAAAAACAGGGTGATGGAAACTTAGCTATATATATGTAAGGATAGGTTACTTTTAACAATACAGTACAGATAACCACTGAAAAGCACCCGTCTGAATCGATCACATCCATAACACACAAACTCCAGTGATCCACTGGCTGCTTACAGTTTGAAGAAGGTGGTTCCCAGCTGCAGCAGCAGCACGTGAGGGAGTCTGTGCTCATGAACGATCAGAACCCCTTCCACAGCCCGCCGCATCCCGATTTTCTCAAATTCTTCCCGCATCCGCTGAAAGCGTGCGGCTACTGAGCTGTCCTTCTCATAGAGCGGCTCCTTGGTGCCGAATGTGTAATTTGTTAGTGGGTATCTGCAAAAAACAAACATGATGTTCAGGAGTCATTTAAATGAGGATATGATAGAACTTTACTGATCCACTGGAGGATCAGCACACAGGGCAGAAATATGAACAAAATCAGCCAGAACTGTTAATAAGTCGACTTTTGCCATTTGAGATTAGGGAGGGACGGAAGGGGTTCAATAGTTACCCGCAACACTAGTTTAAATTAGACATTTTCTTTAAATAACTAACTTTTGGAGAGAAATAAAAAATGCACTTCAAATACCTGGATGATAAACTTAATTAACTGGAAAAACAAAGTGTGGAATGTTGGACACTTCATGTAGCGACTGTTGCTGCTTACAATAACAACGTAAAAGACACACACTAGTGGGTAGAGTACATAGTACAAGTGCACAGTGTATATAGTGTGTAATTTGGGATATAGTTCATGTATCTGGTTGTGTGCATATGCACAAAAATGTAAACCTTGTAAGTAGGTCTGCACAATTAATCGAATTCCTAACCGCGATTACAATTACGTAATCGTTCAAAGTCCACTTATTTTATTCTGAGTGCTTAAGATGTGTTTTTTCTTTCTTTCTACAGGTTATCTTAAGGGTTTTTCCATTGTCTTATTTTTTATAATACCATGCATTTTTTTTTTTACTTTTTCACAAACAGCAGTAACCAGGAAGGAGCTACGATTGTTTTTTATTTATATATATACATACATACACATATTTTTTTTGCATTTCAAGCATCATAACAGAACAAAATAGGCTAACAAACACAACTGTACGTCCTCACAGACTGAGACATTCATATTAATCATACTATAACAGAGAAATAAACCATCATACAAGACGTTAAACCAAATAAAATAAAATACATTCATGCAACCATAAACAGGGGATTAAACAAAATCACACTTATTCAACAAATCAAATCATTTCTTGGCTTTATCACTTCTCATCATTTTTACCTATAACAGTACCCAAATTAAATCATTTTCATTTGTTACCTCAACTAGCCTACTTCATTATGACACTGAAAAAAATAAGCAACAAAAAAGTGTTACATTTGTAAAACTATGTGACAATCTGTTGAATGTTACGTAACTTGATTCACTACCTCTGTACTTTGTTTCTTATTTTATTTTATTGTATTTTCATTTTTATTTTTTACTGTCTTTCTTTATTTTTATTTTTGCTGTCATCCATTGTTATACTTAATGTTCAAGTCTTGTTTGTATTACCTGGTTGGTTTAACAGCTAAAAAAAAGTATTAATAAGTAAAATATGTTTATTATACTCATATACATGTTATTATTTTATTAAGCCATCTTTCTTGCTAGTTTAATCTACATTAATTTATTACCATTGCAAGTAATCACAATGGAACAAAAATAATTATATAACCTTCTCAAAATAAACCATTTAGTTAAACCATTTATCTGTGGTAGGGAATAGTAAAACCAACAGAATAAAATCTGTTTCTAATACCTTTATCACTCTTTTGAAATGCTACTCCACAATATGACAGTACAACAGACAGACAAATATTTCAGTACATGTTTGATGTAATCTCCTCATTCATTTATTTTAAGAAGTAAAATGAGATTTGCTGCATGCTTTTAAAATAAGTTTATTGTTTTACAATTTTTTGTGTGCGTGTGTACACATTTGAACATTATATGCTGGTGGGAGTCAGGAACAGACTGCATCCAGAAGTAATATGGAACATTGGTTTGCTTTCTTTTGTGTCTTGCTTTGTTAATCTACATTCATTTATTAGCAGTGCAATTAATTACATTATGCAAGTATACAATGAAAAATAAGTATACAGGTGCATCTCAATAAATTAGAATGTCGTGGAAAAGTTCATTTATTTCAGTAATTCAACTCAAATTGTGAAACTCGTGTATTAAATAAATTCAATGCACACAGACTGAAGTAGTTTAAGTCTTTGGTTCTTTTAATTGTGATGATTTTGGCTCACATTTAACAAAAACCCACCAATTCACTATCTCAACAAATGACACAGTAAATTAACATACTGTACTTTCCAGAAGGCCAACAATTCACTAAAAAAAATTTTTTATTGGTCTTATGAAGTATTCTAATTTGTTGAGATAGTGAATTGGTGGGTTTTTGTTAAATATGAGCCAAAATCATCACAATTAAAAGAACCAAAGACTTAAACTACTTCAGTCTGTGTGCATTGAATTTATTTAATACACGAGTTTCACAATTTGAGTTGAATTACTGAAATAAATGAACTTTTCCACGACATTCTAATTTATTGAGATGCACCTGTACAATGAAAGACTTGCAACCTATGTGAAAAAGCACCCTTCTCAAAATAAACCATTTAATTATTGCTCTTTAGTAGGGAATAGTGGAAAAAATAAGAGTATAAACAAACACTGAATAAACACTATTTCTAATACAGTTATCATCCTTAGTGCAATTTATTTTATTCCATCATAGTTCCCATCTAAATCATTATTAGTTGTTGCATCCTTGAAAAATCATACAAATCAATGCAGCAAAATTACTTTTTTGGGGGAAATCATAAATAAATGCAGCAGTACTGCACTTAAAATTCAACACATTTGTAAGAGATCTGGGGTATTCTGCATTGCTACATGGCTGCCCTGTGATAACAAAGTGCATTATGGCCTCTGAAATGTTATTGTATGTTGTGTTTTTGTTGTGATTTGCCTTCATTATATGAGGTTTGGCAGGAAAAATAAACACATTCTTACCTAAAGCCAAAGGCACTATCATTGTTAGATCTCATTTCAACTGAAAATGTCAATTTAGAATATAAATAATAATTAAAACATACATATTACGTAATTATAGTGCTTATCTCCAAAGGCATTAAGAATTGCTGTTTCTGTCTTCGTTTGCATCTAACCAGTGTGGTCAATACATTTATATCAAATAAGGGCAAATATCACACAATATATCATAAGTGTATCAAAGACAGCTGTAAATTCTGAAAGGCTAGTCGATCAACTAAAGGATAAAATGAAACAAATATACTTGATGTCTTAATAATATATTTCAGATACTAGACTATTATTAAGAAAAAGACACTAAATTGTGCAAAAAGCAGTGCATCGTTTCAGTTTTCTTTCTGCGAGATCTACTTTTTTACCCCTAGACCTCTCACATTACCGTAATACATACAAAATATGATTAAACCAGCACTTTTTATATGTCTTCAAATATATATTGAAATACAAGTGTGCGCTTTGTTATAATATCAATTTGAACTAAATATATATATCTTTTTTTTTACAGTTACATTTGAGAGAAAATGAAATCACAGCTCCACAAAGCAGAAACTTCAACACACAGACTAAAGTGCATTCAAACTTGGGCCACAATGATTTGTCATATTTCATATAGTTCGCCTGCATTGTAGTTGTTGGGGAGGGAAATGCTTAATATTGCCTTTTCCTTGGCAATAGAAGTTTACTTAGGATGGGTTATATCATGAGAAAAATATCTTCAAAATGATCTTGATTGAGATCTGAGCCTGAACTCCTTCTAGGTTTTGAGAAAGGATTATCGTAAATATTCCATCCCCAAAGAGTTGAATTGCTCCAAATGTTTTTGTAAATATGCACCTTCCGCCAATGGCCAACTAAGTGAATCTTCACAAAGGGCTGGTCAGCATGTTTACTTTATACTGTATATCACCTCCACATCTACTAGTCAGATAAATTTGAGCCTTCTCTTCCGATGTTGAGACAATGTACACTCCAAGTGGCATGCTTTCAAACGGATCACTCTGAGAGAAACAATGAAGCAAGACAACTATAAGTGTGAGGTAGATTTTAATAGTATACAACTATTTAGACAAGAGATTTGGACATCATGTTAGTGACTTGATCAGTACCTGCTCACTCTCAGGAGAGATCTGTGCTGGCTGTCATATCAGGGCTTCACTGCTCCTCATAGCCAGCGGTGGGGTACGTCTCCCCCTCCTGGCCCTGAAACATGTACTGTGACACAGCAGCAGGGATGAGGGCATTAGCCAGCTCCTGCACATGCACATAGAAATAGTTTAGAAAACAGTTCATACAATCTTGCAAGCATTCATTTGAAATATGTGCTGGTCATTTTTTTTGAGCCATCATGCATTTATGCAACACGTTGTAACTTTATGGCCCTCTAGCGGTTGAAGCAAAAACTACAAGGTACTTACGGTGGAAAATGTTTTGGTAATTACGCGAGTTGTGCTTCGGCTCTGCTGTTTTGCATGGTTTTCATTCTGGTCAGAAATTAAACTGCGCTACCCTTAATCATGTGCCTACTTATACTACGCCCTTAAAGTATGCACTTTTTTGGTGAAGAAAAAGTACACACTTTTGAGTGTGTAGTAGAAGACTAGGCAAGCTTTGGGACATACTATAACGTCATACAGTGTCTTTAACCGACTGATCTGTCGCATAATTACATGCATCCTGTCACTGTAAACTGGCCTGTCAATCATCTTGTCACAGTTAATATCCTCCACATTTCATTTCATTTAACTTCCTACCATATCGGAGTGAAAAGAATTAGCACGTTAGCCACGGGTCTTCATGCAGAGAACTCTGGTCATTTTTTCTGCATAATGATGCATTTAAAAGTTAACAAACAAATTTATGTTTATAAAAGTTCACACTGAAATATAACACAGATAACATTAAATAAATATTTTTTACCAGGTTAAATGTTGATTATTAGTAACTCAAACCCCTTTATCTAAACCTCTCTACTTAACCGTCGGTCGCACGCATCCACCATGTTTGTAGTTTAAAAAAATGCTTTTTATTCGTGTTTGTAGTTCTCAACCGGATCATTCGTCAAAGCACAATGGATTGTGGGTAATATTAGCCATTAGAGTGTGCACGGATCCACACTTCAAAAATCTACCTGAAATAGTAGACCATCCAGGGACCTTTGGCATACCCTTTTCAACATACTATGCTTTGGGAAACACTTATTCTAATCTCACATACTATTTAGGATGGCTAGTATGAACATTGGGATGCAGGGATACACACACACACACACACAGGTTTGTTTTTGTGGGGACATCCCATAGGCGTAATGGTTTTTATACTGTACAGACCGTATATTCTATTGCCCTACACCAACCCTACCCCTAAACCTACCCCTTACAGGAAACTTTGTGTTATTTCAGATTTTCAATACACTCCATTCTGTGTTATTTATATGCATTTTGAAAAGTGGGGACATGGGATAATGTCCTGAAAACCTGTCACCTTCTCCTTGTAATACCTATGTCATACCTTTGTCATTATACAAATTTATGTCCTCATTTGTCACAAAAACGCGCGCACACACAAACACACACACACACACACACACACATAATGAAGATTTAATTGTCACAGCTGATTATTTACAAATGACAGTAAACTCACTGATTTCAGGTTTGGGTCCATTTCTGTAAAGTTCCACTCGTTCAAAGACAGACTAAATGTGAAGGGCTGTAGGAAAGTGTAGAGTATTATAAGGTCATTAATATGGTAAGGCTATCTTCCCATCCACTCTTATGTTGGATTCACTCTCTCCCTGTATAGATTCAGACTTACATCCATTGCTGCAGCACTGGTTTCCATGCTCTGCTGGTGACTCCTCAGAAGCAGCTGTAAATCCTCCAGACTCATGTCAACATTCTCCACACCCTCAGGAATCTCTGGTCTTGAACATATTCAATACAAATTAAAATAGATTTTCACATGAACTGAAATATAAGTGCTGCTTATCTGTGAAAAACAATAGTCTTAACTATCCTAAGTTGTAGATTTTTGTTACTTTGATACGGATGATATATTATACCTCTCCAGCATTGATCTTTTGGCCCTTCTCTCTCCCAAATTAGATCCTCGGCCCTCTAGGACGGACTGTACCATGGCAACAGGGAGGACGGGGGGTTCAGCGCACACCTCACAGGAGCCAAGTGGTACACCCTCTCCTCGTCCCTGCACCCCAGGACTCACCGGCTCTTCCTTAATCAGCATCAGACACTTTTCTCTAAACAAATAAATCACGCCTTACAGTTTTTCTTAGTCGCTTTGGTGCATTTCTCCAATCATCCTTAATATTTGCAAATTAGTACAGTATGTGCATTTCTCAAAAGAATCCGTACAAACAGCACCACACAATGGATTATCTGCAAAAGCCTGTAACTTACTCAAAATCTTTAGTTCATCTCTCAAAAGTAAGTATTTATGTCAATGAACATATCAGTGCCATCAGAATGAAAAGTCCTTGTGTCATTGTTCATAAACAAGATAGTCAAAATGCGTAGTCATGTTGTCAATATAACAGTGCACTCTGTTAGTATTACCTGATGTAAACTATGGCAACAGTTCGGATTGCTACAGTTACTGTATTGAAATGCAGAAGGCTGCACTTCTTATGTATGCCATATATCCATTTCAAAAGTTCAAATTTACACATTACTGTATGTGGGATATTGATTGAAAGAGACGGATAGAATTCCCAGTTACACTTTTACTAGTGGTCTGACCAAAAAAAAACACACATTACAATGTCATTGTGATATAGAAAATGAAAAAGAAATATGGGCACAAAGATGAAAAAAAAAAAAAAGAGAAAGTCCATTGTCAGAATTTGTAACTCGTGTTGTCCTCTGTCTATACAGTACGTGCTTTCCAACTGAAGATTCATGGGATGAACCTTTGAGCTATTTCAGAGAAGTGGTTTATCATTGGTTGATCTACATTCTCTTCATTAGTGAAAGTCAAGATTAATCTGCACAATTCATGCCAAATTTACAAAAAGTCTAATAATAATGTGTAAAAAATGTGCTTGAAACTAGATTAACAATTTTGCATTTAATGACTTATATGATGAACTAAAGACTATATGTTTTGAGGGGTAAGACTATTGCACAGAAAACTATATAATACATTTTGAGCAACATGGCATTAGCAACTGATAATGTTAGAAAATCTCAGATAAATGTACATAATCAATTGCATGAATGTACCAAAGCAATCGCAACTTGTTTGAAAGAATGAGAAACTGCGTTTATGATGTGTACAAATGACTAGATGATGTGGAGGTTGTACAAGTAGTTTTGAGAATTTCATTTCTGAAATAAGAAATATATATATGCCTGTCTATATGCTTTCTAATCGAAGATTCATGAGATGCACCTTTGAGCTATTTCAGAGAACTGGTTTATCATTAGCTGATCGACATTCTCTTCATTAGTGAAAGTCAAGATTCACTTGCACAATTCATGGCAAATTTACAAAAAGTCTAATAAAAATGTGTAGAAAATATGCTTGACAGTTTATGGCAACTAGATCAACCATTTTACATTTAATGACTTATATGATGAACGAATGCCTAGATGCTTTGGGGGTTAAATATTTTGTACAGAGAGCTATATAATAAATTTTGAGCCACATGACATTAGCAACTGATAATGTAGGAAACCGCAGACAAATGTACATAATCAATTGCATGAATGTACCAAAGCAATCGCAACTTGTTCAAAAGAATGAGAAACCGCTTTTATGATGTGCACAATTGACTATATGATGTGCAGGTTGAACAAGATCTGAGAAATTATCTGAACAAAGCGACTGAGAAAAACTGTAATAAAAGTAAACATAGCTAAACTAGAGCCCTGTGACACCCTTTCTATTTTTTTTCCCAAATTCGGTTTTATTTTTTCTCGAATTTCGTGTTTTATGTCCACATTTTTCGCATGACGGAAATTATAGGGCCCTAGTAAGCATAGTGGCTAATAAGAGATAGTTCACCATGAAATGAAAATTCTGTCATTGTCTTCTCACCCTATTTAGAAGAACATTTGTGTCCAAACATTGCAAGTCCAAAACACCATGCACATAATAATGTATGGACAGAAACATTTGAGTGTTTTGGGGTGAACTATCCCTTTAACTCTGAAGGTCGGACCACTCACCTAGATTCCTCTGCCTCCATTTGTAAAGCCATGGTGCTGGACTGTGAGATTTCAGTGACATCAGAGATTATTGGCCCTCTTGTCATCACATTGCTAGTAGAGCAGGATGCACTTTCTGTGGATGGCTGGTTGAACACGAAAGAGAGTCTGTGTTTGTCATATTTTATTGATTGAGAAAACCATCAAAACACCAGTTGTAATGATACAGTGAGTAAAATCTTCTTTGTCAGATCTTAAATCTTTAATATGAAAGCTTTCTCACCGACTGGATATAGAAAGATTCTTGCAAGGACTCTGTGGAGTGGCTATGGCTGAATTTTGAGGCAGGAGGGGTGGAGCAGCCATCATCCAGCATGAGAGGACTGGGGAGAAGGAAAAATGCAGCATATAATCGATAGAAGCCACATCAATAAGTGTTCAGGTCTCAAATACAAAGAACTTAAAACTGTTGTTGTGAATTACAATCCTATTGCCCTGTAGTGGAAAGACTGTAAAAGAATGTTGGAGCAGTAATGTTATTAGTAAGTCAGTCAGTTAAAAGTTGCAGTGGAATACCAAGCACTGGCTCTTGCGGCCCCTCTTACCCAGTTTGTTCTCACGCGTCACACTAGCTGACGGTGCACCTTTTTAATAGATGGTATGGGTCATGCGCTACAGTTCAGGTGTGTGTGTGTGTGAGGGCAAGAGCTCAGGAGGTCTGACTCAGCATTCAGCTCCATTCATCCCAGCAAAGGCAGTGAATTGTATCAGCTGACTGTTTCCAGCTGAGTTGGCCATTCCCTCTACTGTGTTTGTGATGGAGCATCAGGCTGTTGATTGCTATTTTCTGTTTGCGCTTTTATTGTTTATGTGTGTATCAATACCTAATCAAGTGCTTCAGATTAGTGTGTACGTGTTACAGATGAATGGGTACACTCACAGCTTTCTCTTCATTCCCAAAGTACTGGGAGTGTTGGATTGCATCTGGCTGAACAGGAACTGAATCAGCTATTTATAGAACAGAGAAACACAAAGTGATTCAGCGTTACTCAGTCACAAAATCTGCACGACAGCATCTTCCCCAATAATGGCCAGATCAACCTACTGTCTCTCATTGTGGTCATGAGCTGTATTTATTACCTTATTCATGACTTTCTGCTGCTGTGTTTGATTCTGCCTCAATGACACCACCTCTCTCCAGAGAACGTCATTCTGCCTAGATAGATAGATACATGGATGAATAGATAGATAGATAGATAGATAGATAGATAGATAGATAGATAGATAGATAGATAGATAGATAGATAGAGATAGAGATAGATCGATAGATCGATAGATAGACAGACATATATGAATAGATAGACTCGTATAGAATAAAACTACAGAAAATATATTGTAGGCAATAAATTAAGGATAATTTGTAAGTAATTTGAGGTATAATTGTTGATTTCACACAGATTTGGGTGGTCTGCTTTTTCATTTTTTTTGATGTTGTCTACCACCTGGAAATATTTGAGAACTACTGATTTAGATGATTATTTAGTCCCTAGAAATTAATATCTACACTCTTAAAAATAAAGGTGCTTCAAAAGGTTCTTCAAGCGATGCCATAGAAGAACCATTTTTGGTTCCACAAAGAACCATTCAGTCAAAGGTTCTTTAAAGAACCATCTCTTTCTTACCTTTTTATAATCTGAAGAACCTTCTTTTGCCACAAAGAACCTTTTGTGAAACAGAAAGGTTCTTCAGATGTTAAAGGTTCTTTATGGAACCATTTAGACAAAAAGGTTCTTCTATGGCATCGTGAAGCACCTTTATTTTTAAGAGTGTACCTGTGGGCATGTGATCAGACTGCTGGCTCCTATCTGTCAGGTGAACTACTGAATGTGCTACTGAGGCAGCTTTAACAAAACACCAAACCACTGAGATTCACAATGCAGAGGAGCCAATGAATGAGAAGTAGGTGAAAAGTTAGAGGGATAATAGAGGTGAAAGGGCAAGTTGTTGTTTGGGGTTCAGTTTTTTGTTACTAAAGGCAGGATAGGCAGTAAATGATGCCATAGTATTAATTTGGTATGTGTGCATGGATGTATGTGTGATACACATCTTACTGTTTCATATCCTGCATCTGCATCTCCATGTTCTCTTGTTGGCTGCGAAGCACCTGCACCTCATACAACAGCTTACTCAAGTCCTCCTGCCGAACTTTGGTATCCTCGCTCTTCACTATTGACACCTGTGAAACACACAAACACATAAACAGTCGTGGGTAATGTGAGATCATAAACCTCCAGCCTGTGTGTGTGTTATGGCCTCTGACTCAGAGAATGAGAGAATAAAGCAAGAGTGAGAATCGCTTAAAGATGAGTCGTCTCACCTTGCGCTTAATGTGCTCAAGCAGATGCTCGTGGCCCTGGAGGAAATAGAGGTGCTGGAACTCGGTGTCATCTCGCTCGGGTTTCACCAGTCCACTCTGCTCAATATTCACCACCTTCCTGAAGCCGTCTGAGAGAGAAGTGAGAGGATAAAGCAAACACTATTTCAATCGGAAGTGCCTGTGATAGCTTTGGGATGTTTGTCAGTGCAGAATGATACTTACACATGTTGAGCTGGCGTACAAAGCTTGCCATGTTATTGTGTTTGAAGTATTTGGGCAGAACCTCTTTGGCAAATCTGCCCTGGTCAAAAACATGGAAGCTGGTGCCCGTCTAGAATGAGAGAAAACAAGTCAAAAAAGGAAAACATGTCTCTGCTTTGATTGTAGTTTGAAAGCACAAAACAGACTGCATGTGTTTGGGAAAGGGAACCTTTTAATGTTCTTCCTCGAGCTATTTCTGAAAGACATTGTTAAATGCAAAACTGAGACACATGATTGCAGTGAATCAGAGAAGCATCTGCTAAGAGCGGCCTGCCTGTTTTTCAACCTCATTGAGTTTTCAGTATCTTCCTGCTGTTTTTATTGCTTTTATTTATTTTATTGCTTTTTTTGCACGCACAACCAGAATGCTAAATGAAAACAACTTTAGTGTAAATGATTTTTGATACACAGGATTTTTTGCAAATTAATTCATGTGACCAGTACTCTTGATTCATTGCCAAATTTATGTTAAATTGAATAGTGAATGAAAAAAATGAAACATTTTCACCAGAAGATTATAAACATGAACATCCTCAAGTCTCAACATACTGATGCAAATCATTTATTTTAAAGAGTTTGTCATTGATTTTTGTGGTTCCAAGTTCAGTCAATAGACTTTTGTTTATTGGCCTTTGATTGCACCTTTCATTGATGTTCATTTCAAATTAATTTTAAATTGAGATATTTTCATACGGATGCATTTTGAATATAAACAGAGTGAATACAGAGGATATTATGTGCCTCTTATTAATCATTCTCAGATGACATAAGCTAGATCATCAGTAATAATAATAATCAATGCAGAGCCATAGAGACCAAACCAAAAAGTTCCAGAGCCACTTTAGAGTCCATCTTTAGAGTAAAACCACATTTAAATCTACATATTTCCATTATGCACAAAGAATATGTCAGATTCACACAAGGCGCTAATATTTCATAAATTATGAAATATGCGTTGTAAATATACACTTTTTTTTCCAATGAAAACTTCTCTCAAATGTACTACAACTAAAAGTAATGATTAGGTAACAATTTGCAATAAGTTTCCCATTGATAATATTAACTGCATTTGCTAACATGAACTGACAATGAAAAATACCTCTAAAGCACTTATTAATCTTAGTTAATGTTCATTTCAACATGTATTAATACATTATTAAAATCAAAAGTTGTATAGATTTATATTTAATGGATTTGAGCTAACATGAAATAACAATGGATAGTTAACAATGAAAAATTTAATTAACTAACAATATAATATTGTAACAATTTATTGCCGCTAATGGGACCTTATTATAATGTCTTACCATGATTAAAACATTGTAAAATATTTGCTTAGGTAACACGATATCAGTTTTACAAGAAATATTTTTTTCTATTCCAAATTACAATATCAAAGAAACCCAGTGCTCTCATAGAGCTTCATTAGGGTTCCCAGAAAAATGGAGAGAAATTTTGATAGAAAAAATTATATTTGCAACATATACATTTCTGAAAATGTTTCTCTGATGTTTAGGAAATAGAAAAACTATTTATTGTAAAGCATATACACTGTCAACTAAGTAAATATTTTCTAGTATTTTAGTAAATTGTTTTATTTGTAGAAATTTTCAAATAATATCCAGTCATTTAATTTAGAAAGCAACATGGTTATGCTTATGTTTTCCCCACACACACAATATAAAAGGGTCTTTATATATGCAAATGCATAGCTACCATTTCATTGCAATGGGATTATCATATTTGGATGTTTTTGCCAAAATTTTTAAAAATCCCTGACTTACATAACTTTTGTTGTTGCTCTGCCTAATCAAAGTCTTATATCTCTAATCAGAGATCCACAACAGTGAGTTTCTTTCTATTTTAAATCTACACAATTTTTCACATAATGTTTTATACATAATGTATTATACCCATAATTTATCATCATTTATAAATCAACCACACAATGCCATCAGGGTGAACTCACAGTGCTCCAGCAAATCAGATGATTGGTCTCTGGGTCTTCCACAAGAGTCCAGAGTTTAGTGAGGAAAGCAGGTACATTGCTGGCGTATCCTCCATCCACACCTATAGAGCCTGGATTCTCCTGCATGACTACACTTGGACTTGAACAGATGAGTCTTTAATCCAGTAGTGTTTTAGACCATTTCCAAATCGATGCTCTCTTGGGATGCACGTTGTAGATGCTGTTCCTCTCTCCTTCTCCTTCCTTCTCTTTGTGGCCTAGTCATAGGGCCATCCCTGCCATTCTCACAGGTCAGAGTCAGCATAAAGCAATGCCCTGCAGTATCACCACTATACCCCCTCATTTAACAAAGCAGCCCACAGGAGAACAATACAGACCCACACAAAAACCTAGAATAATGCCACACTGTCACGCCAAACAGCACAATGGCCAAACACAACCTGCACAGGAGAGTATGCTGGGCAGATGTGCCGGGTTTTGTGTGGATTTTGAATTGTCATTAAGGATGTTAAGGTTGTTGTTTAGAGAAAAAAAACTTGTCTTCAAGGGGTGGAATATCTATCTATCGATCTATCTATCTATCTATCTATCTATCTATCTATCTATCTATCTATCTATCTATCTATCTATCTATCTATCTATCTATCTATCTATCT